AGCAAAGATGCACAAGACAGCATTTTAAATTTGTCTCATGGAAGTGGAAAATGTATATTTATGTACATTGCAATGCTAGTAAACTGTCAGTCCAACAGAACATGCTTAAAAAGGAAAACAAAAATCCAGCAGTATGTTAAGTTACAAAATTACTTACATCATTTAATGGCAGCTCTGATGTGCCTTTCTTGCTGTGAAGAAAGACATAACGGTTTATAATTGTACAAATTCAAAATGTTGACATTTATGGACTATGCTATGATTGAATTTTACAAATTGAGGAAACTGTATAATTCAAATTTAAGTATGGTGCCACTTAAACAAAAGTACAGATCAGTTAACCATTTATTATTATCAGTGCAGCAGTTCAGATATAAAGACTAAAATGTAATTATCACAACTTTTAGCCTTTCTATAGGTTACCCAAACAAACCTTCCTGGTTTCTATAAGATAAAGCTAGTCTTCATTTTTAAAGTTGTGTCCAACGTTTTATTTACTGTATAGCAAAATGTTAGACCCCACACAATAATAAAACAGGACTGTCATTTAGATGATATAATTAATACACCTGCTTTACCACATTACCTTGTGGTTATAAATCCAAATACTACTTAATTATGGATGCTCCTAGCGTTACAATAAGTCTTTGCAACAGCCAATTTCTAGCTGGACAACAACAAGACAGTTCAGAAATGCAGTGTTAAGTACAGCATGTGTAGTACAATAGGGTCATTGTTATATTACACGCTAGTCTCCTGTAGCTAGGAGTAGGCAAATCCAGTCCAAGAGCGCTGTATTGTTTTCGGTTTGCATATCATCTCAAACTTTAAGAATTTCATTAAAATAAAAACTAAAGAGATAAGAAGTTCAATCGGCGGTGTTTTCCCACGTCTTAACCAGGTGCTATTGAAGCACCTCTAAAATCTCCAGGAAACCCACACGCGAGGGTTGGAGTTGCCTACCTATGCCTTAAAATATAAATACCTCTATTGTTTTTTTTAAAAAACAGTATTTTCCTTGAAAATGAACTAACACATTCCTGAAATCTGACCAGTAGAGGACACCGGCCCAGCGCGGATCCCTGATCTGAACTGCATCTTGACACAAACCCTGTCTGTGCCCA